TGAAACCTTAAATGTACGATAATTCACCTACTCGTCTGACTCGTCTGGCTCGCCAGAGCTCTTGAAATAATTTGATAAACATATTATACCTTTCTCTTAGATTTCTAGAACCCTCTTCTTACGCCCATTATAAAAATGAGGTCTTACTATTCAGCTTCGCATGACGCCTTGTGATTTTGATATCTCCTTTCGATGCAACTTATTGATGGAACCTAAATGATGCTATGCCACTTCCTTTTCAGGCTTAACATCACGTTTGGCATGGTTATCACTGCTACGATGAACAGGCTCATGCTCTGTGTGATGACTATCCGCTTCGAGTATGCTATTATATAGTATTGCCATGTGTCGACGGAAAGGAATTTCCCTTTTCCAGATACCAATACTGCTAGTAAGTAGATTGTTTGAAGACCATGTACGAGTTAAGCGGACACACGGTTGTTGTAGGGGTACGATGAATTTGAGAGGAAAGTTGATTTGTTTCGGCATCCTAAACAGGGTGCATAATATAATGAATTTCGATGCAAAGTTAAGCCTCCTCTTCAAGTTTATCGTTAAGTGAATTTCCATAAGTCGCTACAACAGTATGTTATTAGAGCTTATCTTTTGATAGTCGTGATCAACTCAGTAAACATAAAACCTTAGTAACCTATCGAGCTTAATGACAGACACGAAATCGTTATTCTGTACAAAAGTATCCAGCAAGGGTTGGTCGAGACTGGCCTACTTTGCCTTTACAGTCATGTTATGTTCTCAACTCAATGTAGATATGTTCGTGTGGCTTAGGGTGTAACTTGCTAGCTCCTAAACCTCATCTCTCCTTTTCAAATGTCTCTCGACATTTTATTAAGACCTATAAGAAGTTTATACCACTACCCACTTTGGATAAACATTGTCTATTGAGACATGTTTAAGCGAATTTATATGCATCGCAGCTAGACTGGCCATCACCATACGGCTATGATATATCTTGACAATAGTCAGTTTCCAATAGTACTGACAATTCTTGTAATATTCCCTGTTTGCTGTTATTCTTTGGTTCCCTCACTTTCACTGTCTTGGCCAGATATGCACGGGATGTTTTGACTCTCATGACGCTCTGGCCGCCCTCAGTCTTTCCGGTCTAGCCCATCTAGCTGGTCTGCTAGGTGCTCGAGTAGTGCTGAACTCCCTTCGTGCCACGGAGAGCCACCTTTTAGCCACTAAGCTCTTGTATCCCGAAATCCCGCAAGATGTCCTACATCGGCAAGATCTTCGTGCTCAGGGCCGGTGGAATCGGATAAACGATGATCTGACCTCCACGCCGACTTTTGCCAATGCGGCGACGGGAGCATTAAATATACAGCTGCCTAGTTTCGGCTGGCCCCGAGGCAATCTTTTCTCCGAAGCTGCGCCAAAAATGGCTCGCTCTGTCAGAGATTTCCCAGTGCTAGTAGAGGTAATTTTTATCCATTTATTGCTACTTTGATCAATAGGATATATCCTGATATGCCAATTAACTTCCAGATCTGGATAATTCTAAGCCAATTTAAAGTTATTTTCACGAGCTGCATTGAGCAAAAGTACTCTCATCTTCGTTAACTTTTCAGCCCTGTAAAGCCGATATAGTCTATTCGAATTCCCCTGAAAAATGACAATTTATCTTTTAGTAGCTCCTTTGTCCTTAGAATTTACACTTGGCTAAAATGCATACCACCTAAATCTGCCGGGCTGCTAGGCTGTTTATTTTATTAAATTTAGAGCTGCTACATTTTCATAATAAATATTTAAACTCTCGGATAATTACTAGGATATCGAGTCAAATTATTGCTTGAGTCGTTGACTGTGGAATGGATTGACTTTGTTTTATAATTTTCGAATTGGAGTAGAGTTTCGAGACTACCAGTAAATCAGTAATATGAGAGGTATTCACTCTATTTCGTTTAAGGTGATGAAGGACTGGTAGTAGAATTTTCCCACAATGATATGA